CTAGGTGACCAGCCGAGGGCATTGCTGGTGGCCTCGTAGGCGTGGGCCGTAGGCTAGGTGACCAGCCGAGGGCATTGCTGGTGGCCTCGTAGGAGTGGGCCGTAGCCTGGGTGACCAGCTGAGGGCATTGCTGGTGGCCTCGTAGGCGTGGGCCGTAGCCTAGGTGACCAGCCGAGTGCACTGCTGGTGGCCTCGTAGGCGTGGGCCGTAGCCTGGGTGACCAGTCTGCTCTTCTGTTCTAGGTTTCGTAGCCTGACGACCGCGTTCTTCAGAGACGCGATGGGATTCCTGCTGCTGTTTGATCTGACTAACGAGCAAAGCTTCCTCAATGTCAGAAACTGGATAAGTAAGTGTTACTGTTTCTGTCTTCCTCTCCCCTCTCCCTGCGATAAAAAGCCCTCTTAAATTCTACTTCTGTTGTGAATTGTTTGAGAGGAGCTCCTAGCACAAATGCTATTTAAAAGACCAAGATTCCTATTTTAGGGGGAAAGATAACTGAAATACTCTGCTTTACCGAGTAACACCAGCTTTGATCTGCTGGGTCTGTCCTGTGCTCCAGGTACGTGGCGATAGTTCACATGTCATCTTGTCATCCGTGTTGTCCACAGAGGGGTTCTTTACTCCTGTTTGACAGATGGGGAAATGGAAGACTAAAGAAGTTAACCCTCTATGTATCTGCATGCCTACTGTGTGCTATCAATTCTTGCACAGTCTGTGGGTCTTACAAATACACCGCACGACGTAGAAACCTCTTGAAGGCTTAGGAAATCACACTCCGGCTGCAGGCCTCCTCTGTGTGTGGAGGCCCCTCCCTTCGCTTTTAGGATCAGAGTCTCTGTGAGGAGGGCCCTGTCTTGGGGACTCTACAGCCATGTTAGCACATGTGGTTGGTGTCCAGCGCCATCTGCAGCACTTCATCTTGGCTGTTTGGAGAGCTCTTCGTAAGTGGTTCGTTAACAGTCGTTTAGAATCCTGCCACTTGACCAAATAACAGCAAGCCTGGAAAATCTTCTTCTTAAAATGAGTTTGTAAGTAAGTAATTTATGTAGGTCATTGTGGTTTTCAGAGCATTTTCATATACTTTGTATGATTTGAGCTCTGCAGCCCCCACGTGAGGAGGTTAGGGCAAGAGGCGTGTCCTCATTGTAGGACGAGGACGCTGAACCCTAAAGAGTAATTCATGTGTCTAAGGACAGGAGCCGAGAGTGGGAGAGGCTGTGACTTCAGTGACCTTTCGTGGCCTTTCTTAACTAACCTGGTTAGCAGGAGAGGAAGGGCTATTTAACACTTTAAATACGCATACCCCTAGTTTAATTATGCTCGATAGGCCTCACTTTGTTCAATGCTTGTCTGAGTTGCACGTCTTGTTATGTTTCTTATAGCTTAATGGTTGTGGCTATTTCTAGTCCCTTATTCTCAGCCCTTGCTCAACATCCTCTTTGCCTCACCGTACAAGTTCTGGGGCTTATGCAAGTCAGGTGCTTACGAGGATCCTCAGTAGAGATGTGCTCCTAGGATCTTAGCATTGCAAGGTAACCAGCCCACCTGTTTCTCACAGCTAGGAACTGAAGCTCTGAGTCACATTAGCTAAACCTTGTGCTTTGTAGGTAGTTCAAGAGCAAAATTATGTGAAATTATATGTGTGTGTTTTGTTTTGTTTTTCTCTGAGAGTAAAAGAATCCATGTTGCCCAGTTAGTTAAAGAAAACAAAAAGCCTTATATGTATTGCTGGAAATTTCTTATCTTCAGTGGAAAGTGTCCACTCCCTCACTCTCCACCCTGGTTTAAAAAAAGGTATAATGTTCAGTGTCAGTGGTAGTAAAATCAAATCTTAATTAGGAATAAAAATTTGTTAATTAGCTATACATTTTATTTTTCCTCTGTTTGCCAGCATTTGGAGTATTTCAGGGATTATTAATTTCTTCCTTTTTTTGCCAAAATAATTTTTTATTACTACTTTTTTTTCCAATTGGCTCAGAAAGAGGAGAGAGGGTGTGTAGTCACCTTTTGCTTCTCCAGAGTGGCCTCGCAGGTCCCTTTCCCCTTGTCCCCAAATCTCTCAGACCCTTTTGAGAAGGGGGCAGGAATGGGAAGGTGAGCCCACTGTTGGGGAGGCTGCACGGCAAGCTGAGTCTTGTGGAGCTCAGTCTGGAATCTGACAGCATCGGGCAGAGTTGCGTTCAGCCAGCTGTCCTCCAGGAGTTCAGAGGAATCAGCAAGTCAGTCTTCACCCAGTGGTGGCATACTTTCTACAGAAGCTTTAAAATCTCCAATTTCTAGCTTTTTCTTTTGTGGTCTCACGTAAATGGTGAAGAGCCCAACAAGTTACATGTTTACATCTTACATGTTTTTGCTGCTATGTTTTTACTCTTATCATTTCCTTTTTCTGGAAAGCCATCCCACATCCACTCTCATTTTTTTTTAAACTGATTAGAGTTCTACATATTCTTTAAAACCTGCCAAAAATGTCTTCCATGAAGCTTTGTGTGATAACTTTAGTTGGATTAGATTGTTTTTCATTCCTCTTAGGATCCTTATCACATACTGCCTGGCATTGTAGTTAGTCGTATGTGTGCCTTTTTCCCTTTGGCCAAATTTTTTTAAAGGATTGATTAATTTACTTTTTAAAATATAAATATTCAAGCCTTTGTTGAAAATTTAGAATAAAGGGAAATAAAAATAAAAAATCAATAATTATATTTTTCAGATTCCCATAAGTACCCACTGTTAATCCTTTTTACTGGTCAGTACTTCCGCAGCCCTTCTTAGTGCTGTAATACACTAACCTAGTGGGTCTCAAACTTGAGTGTGCGTTAGAATCGCCTGGAAAGCTTGTTAAAACGCAGATTTCTGGGCCCTACCCCCAGGGTTTCTGATGCAGCAAGTCTGGGGTGGGACCTGAGAATTTGCATTTGTTTCTGGGTGATGCTGCTGCTGCTGCTCGATGGACTTTACCTTGAGAGTCACTGAATTAATTCGTTTAACCCTGTGAAATAGGTACTATCAGTATCACCATTTATGGACTGGAAAACTGAAGCACAAAGAGGTCAAAAACTTCCCCAGGGCCACACAGCTAGTAAATGGCAGAGCCAGGAGTTAAGCCAGGCACACTGGGTCTTGAGTCCATGCTTGTGCCCACAATGAAGGACGTGTTAGGTATTATCAGCGCACAGAGCCACTCAAGACAGAAAGATTCTACAAGAGAGGTGACCTTGACGGGAACTCTTGAAGGAAGGGCAGGGATTCCCCGAAGGAAGATTGTGGTGGCAATCTGGAGGTGTGGGAACTGCATGTGTAACAGCTCAGAGGAAAGAAAGAGCATGGCTTTTCTTGGAAACTGTGAATAGTCTGGTCTGGCTTACCCCTAGTCGAAGGAGCCCTGGTGGCGCAGTGGTGAAGTGCTTGGCTACTAACCGAAAGGATAGTGGTTTGAATCCACCAGCTGCTCTGTGGGAGAAAGATGTGGCAGTCTATTTCTGTAAAGATTACAGCCTTGGACGCTCTATGGGAGCAGTTTTACTCTGTCATGTAGAAGCCCTGGTGGTGCAGTGGTTAAGAGCTATGGCTGCTAACCAAAGGCTGGCAGTTCGAATCCACCAGCCGCTCTTTGGAAACCCTGTAGGGGCAGTTCTACTCTGTCCTGTAGGTTCACTATGAGTCAGAATTGACTCAAAGGCAACAGGTATAGGGTCATTAGGAGCTGGAATCAACTTGACAGCAAAGGGTTTTCTCCCCAGTCTTGCTACTGTAGTTGTCCCTTGAGGGCAAAAGAGTGTCCTAAAATTCCAAGCAAAGCAACAGGCCTGGGTTAACGCCCAGTAAATGTTTGAAGACTAGACTTTCTCTTGATAAGATATAATGAACATATCTCCATAGTGAGGAACTAAAATGTAACATTTTTCTGGTTAACCATGATAAAAAATAAATTAGGCCATAAACTTTGAAGTATGTCTTATTTTGAAAGTTTGGGTTGCTTTAATTTCATTATGGGGTGTTATGAGTAAAAAGTAAGCCTTTATTTTTCTTCTTGGGAAGATTACACTATTTAGCTTACTGGAGCTCTTTTGTTTGATTTCATTGTTTCAAAAAATTATGCCTATTTTACATTGTCAGCTCAAAAGAAACAAGAACTGTGGAATAAGGACTAGGGCCCCCATTCCTCTTGGTTCTACTGACAGAATCATTGGTTGTTTATTCTTGGTCTTCTGTCCTCATTTAATCCTGCATCTTGTTTGTTTTAAATGAATTGATACTGCCTTAGGATAATAGAAACATATGAAAAAAAATTTCACGTAGAAACAGGTGAGTTTATAGGCAGACAGTTGCTTTAAAAATGTCACTGCTGTGGTGAAAAAAGATACGAAAAACAGAGCTTTGATGTTAGTGATGAGCGTTAGGAAACCCGTGAAATTTCTTCTCAAAAGACAGCCAGGTGTTGCGTGTGTGTGTATTTTGTGTGTGTGTGCTTTTGTTTTTTTTTTAATTTAAATTTTTTTTTATTGTTCTTTAGATGAAGGTTTACAGAACAAATAGTTTCTCATTAAATAGTCAGTACACATATTGTTTTATGACATTGGTTAACAGCCCCATAACATGTCAACACTCTCCCTTCTCGACCTTAGAGGACCGTTTTTTTGGTGA